TTGATCTATTGTTAAAACCACAAACCGTTCTAAATCCTCCAAATCCAACAAGAATTCCACAGAAACTCCAAAGCCGATACTTGGTCATCGGAGATCCTGGAGAGTTGCCGGTTTATAGAATTGCTCCAGGAAAGAATTCTGATCATTTCTTCCATATTTTTTTACAAAAGGTGAAAAAACCCAGAAAGATCCATTTTCTGTTAGTTCCCAATTCCGATTATTAATACTCTGTATCCCGAGGTCACGGCAAACCTTCAGACGGCAAAACAGGTCACACCGGGATGTCCCAGGCCATGTACTTGGTTGTCTAGGCACATCCACCCCGGGGCTGGCTCTCTCTAGGGTGAATGACTCGGGCACCGGTCCCTTTTACAACAATTTGCAGAAGTTAGTGGGGAGAAGGAGGTTGGGGGAACAACCAGGACACCCCAAATCTCTGCCCACAGCAACTCAGACATTTGGTTCCTTAGGTGCTAGCGGCATCAACTTGGCAACTGTTTCCCAAGGCAGGATAGCCAAGATTCTGGTGTTAACTTCTCCCTCAGCCAGTTACTCACCACTCTAAATGGAGTCATGTAGAGAATCCCACCACACTCCTGACTGAAAATGACCCAACTTCCAATGGGGGGGGGGGTGCTAAAATGACAGCGGATGGTGCCGCTGGATCAGATAAAACAGTAAGTCACCAGCATGCCAAAATGTTCTCCAAGTTCTTTTTATTCCATGTGTCAAGTTACATCATTTTCCCAGACGGGGACACTCCTCTAGCATACAACCCCTTAGGCCTAAATCTAAGGGACCCAGAACCCAGCCCACCATCCCCCATGGCCCTTTCCCCAGAAAACCAAGAACCCTTCTGGAAGGGTCGTCCAATAAGTTGATATAAAACCAGGACAACCTCCCCAGTGATTGGCTGGCCTGATAATTCAGAACTCGGCTTATGAAACTCTTCGTGCCAAACAGCAGCTTAGGGAACCAGCAACTTGACCATAGACTCTCGGAAGGGAAGGAACACTCAAGCTGGCTGCAGCCCAGAGGATGCCCCTCACCACATAAAGGTGGAGTCTAAAAAGGTGGAAACTACATGTCCTACTTGGTTGTAAATGGTCCTGGACTGTACGGAGCCCTTTTATAGACAGACTGCAAACCTCTAGGATTCCACCAAACATTGCTTCATGTAACAATTTACAACCACCAAGTAGGACATTAAGTTTCATAAACCATAAAAATAAAATATGAAAGTTCCACAATATAAAGTTTGAGCTGTCGCGGGAGGATTTACATGGAATGGGAAGGAGGAAAGTAACGGTGAAAAAGGTGCCGAGTGTAATTGTGTTCCTTTGATGGGTCAGGTGGACGGATAGACCATGGACACCACGAAGGAAAGGCCAAGCATGCTCTACATGAAGCTGTACAGATGGACATTGCCATTGGTGTGGCCGGAGAGATGACTTCCACCGAGGATACTCTGACCGTCGTCACCGCTGACCACTCCCACGTCTTCACATTCGGTGGATACACCCATCGAGGAAACTCCATTTTCGGCAAGTTACAAGTTTGTTTTTGTTTTTTTTAGGTCAAAATATGAAAATTGAGCATTTTGTAACGTTTGTCAAAAAAAAATAAATGCTTTTTTCCTTCAACTGATCAAAGATTTTGGTACAATGATCAAAAAAATGTAACGCTGATGAAGAGTTTGGCTCAGAAAGTTCGATTATACCGCATAGAAGAGCGCAAGCAGATAGATGTGGTCACCGATAACCACCTAAATCTCATTGCGACTCAATGTTAGGTGGTCACGTGATGGAGTTTCAGAGGAAGTGCAGAATTGAAGTACAACCCCAGCCAACACTTTGAAGGTTTTAGGTTCCTGCAGTGTGAGCCTAGAGAGACAGGAAATGATGGACCAGCCAGATGATGAGCAGGAACCCGTCACAATGTATCTTCTCAATGGTGAAGGTTTAGAGCAGAACATGCCGGCTGTATCTTCCGGGACGAATAATGACCCCTCAATTCTGTCCATTTCAGGTTTAGCACCAACACTGAGTGACGTCGACCAGAAACCTTTCACGTCCATCCTGTATGGGAACGGTCCCGGCTACAAACTAGTGGACGGGAGCAGAGAGAACGTCTCCACTGTGGACTATAGTAAGTCAAGCCGTACTGCTCATTAGAAGAAGGGTCACCCAAATAACACCCCACAGAATAGGACACTAGACCAGTTCATTGAGCTGAGCTTCCCAATCCATCCAACATTCACACAAGGACAAGGCAAGCTCACACTCAGGACTAGGTTCATGGCTTCATAGAACTCACAGGCCGGAGACGGGACATTTCGGTGTTCGGTGCACCAAGACATGGAGGTGGCATCTGCAGACCTTCTGAAAGGGCCAATTGCCTGACTTCCGAGACGTCAGTTCTAGAAGAGTACCAACATTTATTTAAAAGCCCAACACATTTCACAGGTTCAGATTGACCCCTTTAGCTTCTCATAGCTTTACACCTAAATGGAACATTCACCCACACCAGGGATTCACCCACACCAGGGATTCACCACCTCATTTCTCAGTCCATACCTTCCCAGTCTCTGACCTGGAACAAGTCACAGTGAGGTCTAAAGCCCTTTAAAACACATTACCAGAACCATCACTGACCGTGGCCAGGTCCCTCAACATACTACAAATATAATTATGTATATAGCACCAACATATTCCGCAGCGCTGTACAATCATTCAGACCAGCGTCACTGACACACAGAAACAGTAGGCGAGGATCACCGACAGTGACCAGGTCCCCCAACATCTCATAGGACACCCAACATCCTCCAGACAGTAAGCCATTCTCTACATCTCATTGTCTTCCAGCTGATGCCAACTACCACGCTCAGTCGGCGGTTCCCCTACGGATGGAGACCCACGGCGGAGAAGACGTAGCCGTATTTGCCAAGGGGCCCATGGCTCATCTCCTGCACGGTGTCCACGAGCAGAATTACATACCTCACGTCATGGCATACGCTTCCTGCGTCGGTCAGAATCAGAACCACTGCAATTCCAGAAGCTCAGGCCACAGGACCTCGGTCACTCTGCTGCCCTCCGTCTTATCGGTCCTCGCCGCACTGCGATTGTTGTGAACGAGGCGCGCCTGTCCTACCTCGCCCTACCATGGTCCACACTGCGCGGGTGAGATCTGCTACCGAACATTCCTTACACAGCTACCAATCAACCGTAATCACAGTGTGGTCCCAACGCGGGAAGGCCTACAGGCCCTATGGCGGGCCTCATCTCCATTGAGTAGAGCCGGCCCTCGCCGGTGGGAGGCGGTCACACCGGGGAACGTCCCTCAATGTGAGTTTTATAGGAAATCAGAGACAACTTGCAGGCAGAGGGACCCGTTCCTGATAAATGAAACCACTAGGAAGAGAGAGACTGCTAAAGCCGAGACTGACGTTCAGAGGGTTCCTCACACGCGTGTTCTTCAGCTTTCCTGATCTATAATCAATCCGATAGATCTTCTGAAATCTTCTCCATGGAAACAACCAATAAAAATCCAGGAAACCCGACACATGAACAGAGTTCCTCCTCTTCATCTCACATATATACACGTTCGTGGGGGCGCCCTCAGCCAGTGAGCTTGGTATCTCCACCTCCTAGACCAGGGGTAGAAAACCAGCGGTCCTCCAGCTGTGCTGAAACTACAAATCCCACGACGCATTGCAACATTCTCACAGCCACGACTCCCGGAGAGAGATGCATCATGGGATTTGTAGTTTCACCACAGCTGGAGGACCACTGGTTGGCTACCCCCGTCCCAGACCTAGGGGACATCCCAAAGGTCTGATAACAGGAGTCCAGAAACAAGGGTCACATGATCAGAGGTCTCATTCTAAAATACAGGGGTCTCCAAACTCCGCCCCTCCAGCTGTTTTGGAACTACAAGTCCAATGAGGCACTGGCAGCCACAGGTATGAACCCCCCCAGAGCTGGGTGCATGATGGGATTTGTAGCTTCACAACTCAGCTGGGAGGGCCGGAGTTGAGCTACTCCTGCCCCTAAAGTGCACATGCAACCGAAACCCTCCTTAAGCATGGGAGGGAGTGGGGGGAGGTGCTGGAACCCAGCTAGATTTTCGACTGCTATCTGGGGGCCCCATAAAGAGAGATTTATTCTCACTTCCTGTCCTGCTGACAACATTTTACCAGACAGGAAGTTGGAGGAGATCTCCCGACCAGAAGCAGTAAAGGAACGGGCATTTCCTCTCCCCCGCGGGATACATTGTAAAAGGACTTTGTATAGGACACATTACCAGGGGCGTCCCGAGGCTGAGTGACACCCGGAGTGGAGACCGGGCGACACCCCGCCGTGACATCATCGCACATGTGCAGTCATCATATGGAGCCTGCCGGCGGCCATCTTGGTGATGGACACCGGCAGAGAGAGGAGGGGACGTTCACCCGGCGGGATGAGGTATGCCACCGGGTCCCCTCCTGACACTGTCCGTGATCGAGTGCCCAACTTTTCATAGGGGGTGACACCAAAATGAATGTCAGTCATTTTGGTGTTACCCCTCCAACGGTGTCACCCGGGTGCGGGCCGCACCCCTGCACCACCCCTTGTGACGCCACTGTATATATAGTATACATTAGTGAGTTCCCTTAGACTTGTATGGTAATGCAAACCCTGTTCAGAGCAAACAAAAGCCTGAAAACTAGTACCCATAACGGTGCTTCCGCCGGCATGGAGCCAGCTTTCTGGGTGATCAGGAAGCCAGGCGGCGGGTAATGGCATGCCGCCCGGCTTCCCGACTGCCCGGGGAG